CAGCAAGAGGAAGCAAATCAAAGGATCAAACATTTACTAGAACTAAAAAAGTACAATGAATATTTTAAATTGCCTCACATGAAATAAAATTAAGCTAAATGCATCGAAATGTGTGCTAAACATAACAAGAATAATAAACGGTAAGAAAACATAACATTTGTGCTTGGAAAACAAAGAATACAGTATTGAACACAGGAGATCTTTGACAAACAATGTCACATGAGGGGATTTCATGCTGTATATCACAGCCGGCTGACTCTCCTCTGACATTCATTCACTGATTATCCTGTTGTGTCACTATACATCACACCGGGCTCCGAGTCGAACCCTTCATTTTCAGCTCTATCATGTGCAGTATATATCAATATCTTGAATGCAGTCTACTCTGAGACACCTTTGGTTCTCTCATCACAATGCCTCAGATGACTTCTCTGGGACATCCTCTTCTATTTCAGATACATACACATATACTGTATTTTTTTTTATATTTAAGATCCCCCCCTCCCCCCGCCACGACAATGGATAAAACTACCCAGAATTCGGTTAGACCAAAGCTAAAAAAATAAACATTTTAAACACATTCCGCATTTAAGACGAACCCCTGACCCGAAAAAAAGTAAGGATGCTGTTAAGATGCTCTAACTAGACACAGGATAGGTGCCTAGTGAATTATCAGGTGGGAGTGCACATGTGTTCGCTGACATGTAGGACTCAATGATGCTGACACTAGGACTCACTGATGCTGTCATGTAGGACTCACTGATGCTGTCATGTAGGACTCGGTGATGCTGTCATGTAGGACTCACTGATGCTGTCATGTAGGACTCGGTGATGCTGTCATGTAGGACTCACTGATGCTGTCATGTAGGACTCGGTGATGCTGACATGTAGGACTCACTGGCGCTGACATGTAGGACTCGGTGATGCTGTCATGTAGGACTCACTGATGCTGTCATGTAGGACTCACTGATGCTGTCATGTAGGACTCGGTGATGCTGACATGTAGGACTCACTGGCACTGACATGTAGGACTCACTGATGCTGACATGTAGGACTCACTGGCACTGACATGTAGGACTCACTGATGCTGACATGTAGGACTCACTGATACTGACATGTAGGACTCACTGATGCTGACATGTAGGACTCACTGGCGCTGACATGTAGGACTCACTGATGCTGACATGTAGGACTCACTGATGCTGACATGTAGGACTCACTGATGCTGACATGTAGGACTCACTGATGCTGACATGTAGGACTCACTGGCACTGACATGTAGGACTCACTGGCACTGACATGTAGGACTCACTGGCACTGACATGTAGGACTCACTGACGCTGACATGTAGGACTCACTGGCACTGACATGTAGGACTCACTGGCACTGACATGTAGGACTCACTGATGCTGTCATGTAGGAATAATCAAGTTTCTCTATGTCTCTGTCTCTGTCTCTCTCTCTCTCACACACACCATAAACTGGTAAGAGTTCTGTCATTTCAAAAACTGGAATGATCTGAGCGTGTGCATAAATATCTATGAGCAGTTTCCTGTTAACATAATGTCACAGGCAAGGGATGGGGGCATTTTCTCTTTCGGCATTAAAAATCATAAAACAATAATACACACATTGTATTCATTGATAATAAAAAGCATGAAACTACAATACACATATAATGTCTATTGTTAAAAAGCATGAAACAATAACACAAATACTATGTTCACTGATTGAAAAATTTAAACAGTAGCATACGTATCATGTTCATGTTTAAAAAGCATGATTCAATCAATCAAATATGTTGGTTTACAAACAGCTCACAGATAACAAAAGGAATTGTCAGATCTGGCAGGATCAAAATGATTATCTACAACAGTGTTTATTGCACACAGAACTGTACACGAGGTCAGCTGATCTCTCAAGTGTAACCCATGCAGATACAACACATATACTGAGGAAAACAACACTTCAAATTAAGGCAGACACAAACAATCAATTGCATTATTTACTGCTGGCAATATTTTGCTGCATCTCGTAAGATGCTGAGGCAGTATCAATAAAACTGAACTACCCTGTGTTGTGTAAACAAAAAGATCTTGTGATCAATTTGAAGTTGCCATGGTAATCATATGGCTGATCTTAAAATTCTGGTGGAGAGATGTACAGTGTTTTACAATGTGGTTAATGCTTCAGCAAAAATGGAATGATTTTTGCACTAAACTGTATGTTGATTTAACTCTGCAGTAAAGCATCCAATGAAATATGCCAAGCAATAAATTATGCAATAAACTGTTTGTGTCCACATTTTTTTAATTTACAACAAGGAAAACATTGTTCTGAATTTCAAATACTGTAATTTTACCATTGGTGAACATGAAAGAATGACAAATCATCAATTAAAAACAAGTTAGTTGTGCATCCTTTACAGTAGGCATGTCAAACATGCAGCCCTTTGCAAGCACATTTGCTGCAGGCGTGTCAAATTAGGTTCTTAGAGACCAGGAGTGTCAAATCAAAGTTCTGGAGAGACTAGGAGTGTCAAATCAAGTTCTGGAGAGATTAGGAGTGTCAAATCAAGTTCTTGAGAGACTAGGAGTATCAAATCAAGTTCTGGAGAGACTAGGAGTGTCAAATCAAGTGCTGGAGAGACTAGGAGTGTCAAATCAAGTTTTGGAGAGATTAGGAGTGTCAAATCAAGTTCTGGAGATTAGGAGTGTCAAATCAAGTTCTGGAGAGATTAGGAGTGTCAAATCAAGTTCTGGAGAGATTAGGAGTGTCAAATCAAGTTCTGGAGAGACTAGGAGTGTCAAATCAAGTTCTGGAGAGACAAGGAGTGTCAAATCAAGTTCTTGAGAGACTAGGAGTATCAAATCAAGTTCTGGAGAGACTAGGAGTGTCAAATCAAGTTCTGGAGAGATTAGGAGTGTCAAATCAAGTTCTGGAGAGATTAGGAGTGTCAAATCAAGTTCTGGAGATTAGGAGTGTCAAATCAAGTTCTGAAGAGATTAGGAGTGTCAAATCAAGTTCTGGAGAGATTAGGAGTGTCAAATCAAGTTCTGGAGAGATTAGGAGTGTAAAATCAAGTTCTGGAGAGTCTCAAATTAAGTTCTAAAGTAACAGGCTCATGTAAAAAAATTTTAAAGAGACAGCGAAACATTTCAGACACATTAAAATAACAAGCTGGATTGAAAATTCCAAGCAAGTGAGCAAGAGGCAGTCAATGATAGAAGTGGGAGGATTAAAACAAGAGAAGGACAGAAATCAGAAATGGCAGACTAATGGTCAAACACACACACGGATGAATAAATGCTAAATTCGGTTTGTGGCACCCTGAAGAAAGCAATAAAAATACCTTATACATATAATTATTATGACAACCACATGCACTTAGTGTAGAAAAATGAATCAATGGCAGGCAGATAAATAGATGGCGGTCAAACAAACATATGACAAGTCTGTAAAAGAACACTAAGGAGTCACTATGGCTTAGTGGCTAGACCCTCACGTGCTGATCAGAAGGTCACGGGTTCGCTCCCTGGCGGAGCCAGCCTTTTTTTTTTTTAAATGACCTTGACTCCCAGGTCGACCCAGCCTTGAGTGGGTACAGGTTGCAGTCCCTTTGTTAAGTAAAGGCGGCCAGCATGATGCTGACCACATCACCCATCTTGTGCTGATTGGTCTATAAAATACAGGTCTAGCCCTATATGTCCTATACGCCTATACGCGTAAAAAGGGTCCTTTACTTTACTTTACTCAAAAGGACACGGCAGCCACTGAACACAGACAGGTCAACACAATCTGACAGTCATAAAATAGTTGCTAGCAGCCTAATAAATTTCTGCCAGCAGTCATATCAATGAACAGTGTCATTCATACTCTCTTTATTTGCTGCTGAAGATGGGGACAAAGCGCTTATGGGGGTGTCGCGACTGCTGTGATGTTGATTCTCAATTCAAAATTCTGTCATATAAGTTGAAGGTGTTGGTTACATAAGTGAACAGTTGTAGCAAAAAAGTGAATGGTGGCTGCAAATACATCTTTGTCTTCAATAAATGAATTGTGGCTGTGATATAAATGGATGGAGCTGTTGATCACATCACCAAGTCCCGATTGGTCTAGAGAATATAAGTCTATGCCACTAATGTCAAAAGGGTCCTTTACCTTGTTTGTTTTCTTCAACCTTCTAAAGGGTTATGAGAGACATATAAATGAGTCACTGGAGACATAAACATGAGTCATGAGAGACTTATAAATGAGTCACGGGAGACTATTAAACCAGCTGAGGGACAAATAAATTAAAATTAGGAGACATATAAATGAATAAGACATAAATGGGTTGATGGGAGACAGAAATAAGCCACAAGAGGCATATAAATAGGTTATGGAAGATACAAATGAGTGACAGCAGACACACAAATGAGTCACAAATTCTTTTAACTGAGTCATTACTGAGTCATGGGCAGATAGTCTGGTGACATAAGAAAGGAGTCAAGAGAGACATAAATGAGTCAAGGGAGCATAAATGAGTAATGAGAGGGCTATAAATGGGTGATGAGATAAATTAATTGAGAAGCCTATAAATGAGTGACAGGAGACATTAATTAGTAATGAGAGGGCTATAAATGGGTGACAGGAGATATAAATGGGTCACGAGATGTCTAAAAATGGGTGATGTTGACATAAACAAGTCATAATAGGCCTATAAATGAGTGACAGAAGACATAAATGTGTCACAGGATGCCTATAAATGAGTGATAGAATACATAAATGAGTCACGGGGGCGTATAAATGAGTGATAGAAGACATGAATGAGTCAAATGATGCCTATAAATGAGTGACAGAAGATATAAATGAGTCATAAGCCTATAAATGAGTCACAGAAGACATAAATGAGTCACAGGAGGCCTATTTATGAGTGACAGAAGACATAAATGAGTCATGAGAGGCCTATAAATGGGTGTTGGGAGACATAAAGTGACAGGCACATAAACCAAGAGTCATCAGCAGGCAGTGGGATTTGCAGGGTTGTGAACTGGTCCATACAGCAACAGAGACAAACAGCGCCGCCGGCTGTACAGAACCACCGCTACAATGACTAGGACAACAACCGCAATGCTCACCAAAATACATATAATCATAATGTTGTTATTATTTACAACTGCTTCTTCTTCAGGAGGTATAAGTAATTCTTTCACCGCAGTTGTCTTCTCTGCCATCAAACTTTCCGCAGTTCCGTTGTGATCCAGAACGAGAAACCGAAACATGCGTGGCTGCTCAACCGACTTTGGAACATTACTGTTTCGCTGGAAGATGACCGTGACCTTGCGGATACCGACATCAGCACACCATGCGTGAGTTTCCCGTGATCTGTTCTGGGCACAGTTTAATGTGTAGATCATGTTGGCTGGTGAAGTTGTATAGCCACCTACTGACACAGAAAAGCTCCAGTTGCTGCTGCAGTTGACCTGATCAGACGGCATGTAATAGAAACATATTCTTTTGTGTTGAGTTTCAGGAGTATCCACAATCTCAACCGGGACTCCACATAAAGAATATAACGTATGCTCGTATGTTATAGCCTCTGTTTCATCTGGCTGGTTATATATGCTGATTTTACTATTAAACAATTTGTACGCTGTGGTGCAATACGTACCATCCAGATACACTACCCTATTTGTACTTTCAATATCTACCACTCTGAAATTTATACGTAACTTTTTAAAATCTAACTTTGCTTTAGATTTAACTTTCCTCAAATAGAAGTCTAAAAACTCTGTTTGTCTACAGTCCTCTCTGTGATGCCACGTACTGAGGTAATACTTTAAATGAAAGATGGCATTATCCTTCCTGCGACTGTCATAAACTGAGAGCTCTCCGTTGCTGTCGTTGATCTGACTGACAATCCCCACCTGAGACAGACACAGCCAGCTACTGTTTTTGCCAGAGTACACCCTGGCTTTACATTCCCAGTGACAGGGTGGCCCTGGAGTGGGACTGACAGTGATCAGGTAGTCCACGTCTGCCGAGACTTCATACTCCACATTGCTGGCGCAGCGTTCACAAGAATTGAGCACGATGGTGTTGGTGTCGTGAGATAAGCACACATGGAGCCCCAGCAGCAGGACCAGGGTAGTGTGCCACAGACACCTGTTCATGGAATGGAATTCTGGTGAGCAACACCTCTTTGACAT